TGGCTCATGCCTGCAATTCCAGCACTTTGGGAGGCCGAAGCAGGTGGATCACCTGAGATCGGGAGTTCAAGACTAGCCTGACCAACATGGCGAAAGCCCGCCTCTACTAAAAATACAAAATTAGCCGGGCGTGGTGGCACATGCCCATAATCCCAGCTACTCAGGAGGCTGAGGCAGGAGAATTGCTTGAACCCGGGAGGCAGAGGTTGCGGTGAGCCGAGATCGCGCCACTGCACTCCAGCCTGGGCAACAAGAGTGAAACTCCATCTCTAAATAAATAAATAAATACAGAGAGCCTACTTGAGGTTTCCAAAAGGAACCCAACCTCGGACTGGGGTCAGGCGTATATTGGGTTTCCTCTACTAGAGGCGCTCAACACCAAGAAAAGCCTGGGGACTGCCTGGCCCACCCCTGTCCCTTTGCTCCCTGGAGAGATAAGTCCCAAGCACCACCAGCCCAGGTCCATTTCTTACCTGTCAGCATCTCCATCCCATAACCAGAATCCTCTGATGGCAGGTGCCCAGGCATTGAGTCTGTCATTTCCTCAGAGGTTGGCGAGGGGTCTGAAGACGAAACTCCAAATGACACGGGTGTCTTCTGCCTGTCATACTCCTGTCACAGTCCCTCGGGGACCACCCAACCCAGTCTCCCCACAAACAAGAGTCCTTTTCTTTCTCTCCCTTTTTTTTTTTTGTTCGAGATGGAGTCTCACTCTGTCGTGCACACTGGAGTGCAGTGGTGCCATCTCAGCTCACTGTAACCTCCCCCTCCCGGGTTCAAGTGATTCTCCTGCCTCAGCCTCCCGAGTAGCTGGGACTACAGGTGTCAGCCACCACACTTGGCTAATTTTTGTATTTTTAGTAGAGATGGGATTTCACCGTGTTGGCCAGGCTGGTCTCTAACTCCTGACCTCAGGTGATCCGCCCACCTCGGCCTCCCAAAGTGCTGGGATTACAAGTGTGAGTCACCTTGCCTGGCCATTTCTTTTTTTTGAGATAGGGTCTCACTGTGTTGCCCAGGCTGGACTATAGTGGTGTGACCACAGCTCACTGCAGCCTCCAACTCTTGGCCTCAAGTGATCCTCCTGCCTCAGCCTCCTGAGTAGCTACACCTACAGGCACATACCACCACATCTGGCTAATTTTTTGTATTTTTCGTAGAGATGGGGGTCTCACTATGTTGCCCAGGCTGGTCTTGAACTCCTGGCCTCAAGCAATCCTCTTGTGTCAGCCACCCAAAATGCCGGGATTACAAGCATGAGCCACTGTGCCCGGCACTGTCTTGGCTTCTAACAGTCACCCTATACTGAGGCTCCAGGGCCCAAAACTACCGTCTCCTCTGAAGATGTGGAAAATGAGGCTTGGCAGGGGGTAGGGTCAAACTCGGAGCCTCTCATGCCCACGCCTTTTTCTTCTCTCCAGCCTCACAAATCCCAGGGGAGCCAAGCCAGGGAGGTGAAGTTTGAGGGGACCTTCTGGAAGGTCAGAGCTGAGAACACTGATTCACAACATAGGGGGCAGATGTGGCCAGAAAAAGCATTCATAATACCCTAGTAGCTCTCAGAATCCAAGGAGAGAAACAGCAGCCTGGAGGCCTCTTCTTCACCAGGGCTGACCCTCAGGAGGCTAACGGTCTGGCCCTCATTTCTGCAGGGGGTGGTCCCTTACCTGGGATGGTGACCTGAATGATGTCCAGATCCTCTGGCTCAATTTTGATAGGCCTCAGCCCGCCCAGCTCCCCGGAGGTTCCTGCCAGGAGGAAAGGAAAGATCCAGTCAAGTCTGGCATGAACTTGACTGGGCAGAGTGAGTCTTTCCAGAACATTCTGCTGTCTGTAACTTGTTAGTGAGGCCCTACCTAGGACAAGTCACGTCAGACCCCTGGCTCCTGTCCAGACTGGAACTGGAGGTTGGGGCGCCCCCAGGCCACACTTAGGGGCTCCAATTTACAGACCCGGTGATGGAGGCCCCTCCAGAGGGGAGGTTGCTGGTCCAAGAGCCTGGAGCCTGAGTCTGGGCATCAATAGGAGGCAGTGGTGATGCCAGCACCCAGGTCTCCATGCCCCCAACCCCAGTAAGCTCCCAGCATGCCTTGCACCTCAGCGTGGCGAGGCCTGGGGGATGCAGGTGGGCAGAGGAGGCTCGTTAGCACTTCAGGCTCATGGGCTGAGTTGAGCTCCTCCCCAAGGCTGCCGGGTAGGGCTGGTGGTTGCCCTCCCAGCCCATGACACACACAGTGGGCCCTGTTCCTTCTCACCTGGCCCGCAGTCTTCAGACATGCTGCCCTTGTCTGACCTGTGAAGGGAAGCAGGAAATGACATCTGTCAGCCAAGTCCAGGGCCACCGTGCCCCAGCCTTGCCCCTCCAGGCAGTCGGGGCCCACTGCAGTCACCACTGCAGAAGGCATCCCTGCCCCGTCACCCCCTGGCCCTCCAGGATGGTGCCTCTCACCTCCACCAGGGAGAGAGGTTCCCCGTGCCCTGGTCTCCAGGGACCACAATCTCCAGGGGTGGCCGAGCCAGGCACCTGCTCACTCTCCTGGGGTGAACCATCTAGGGATCCCCCTTCCTCACCATCTGGGAGCTCTGGGGCTCCTGGCCTTGACACAGTGTCCCTTCTTGTGGGGGACTGAGACCTGCAGGGCCTGGAAAGGGTTAAGAATCTGGAGAGGGGGCTGGGGAATGAAGGTGGCAGGGACCCTGGGATGGATGATTTGGTTAATTCCCTCCCTCCCAGAGAACTGCAGGGAGATCCCTGATATGATGTGAGGATTCTGGGCTAAACAGCCCACCCCTGCCCCTAAAAGGTCAGAACGTGCTTGAGGGGTGTTGGTGGATGGTAGCCAAGCTGAGTGCTAGGGGCAGGGTCTGGTGGGCACTCAGGACAGGCATTGAACCTGGTGTTGGTATGTATGTATGTATGTATATGTATATATGCATCCATGTGTTTATTTTTTTGAGATGAAGTCTTGCTCTGTTGCCCAGGCTGCAGTGCAGTGGCACAATCTTGGCTCACTGCAACCTCTGCTTCCAGGATTTAAGCAATTCTCCTGCCTCAACCTCCCGAGTGGCTGGGACTACAGGCATGCACCACCATACCTGGCTAATTATTTTTGTATTTTTAGTAGAGACAGGGTTTCGCCATGTTGGCCAGGTTGGTTTCGAACTCCTGACCTCAGGTGATCTGCCTGGCTCAGCCTCCCAAAGTGCTGGGATTACAGGCGTAAGCCATCATGCCCAGCTGCATGTTTGTATTTTTGAAACAAGGTCTTACTCTGTTGCCCAGGCTGGAGTGGAGTGCAGTGGTGTGATCAGAGTTCACTGCAGCCTTGACCTCCCAGACTCAAGCAATCCTCCCACCTCAGCCTCCCAAGTAGCTGGGACCACAGGTACCAGCTACCACACCCAGCTTACTTTTTATTTTTTGTAGAGACAAGGGTCTCACTATGTTGCCCAGGCTGGTCTCAAACTCCTGGGATCAAGAGATCCACCCACCTTGGCCTCCCAGAGCACTGGGATTACAGGAGTGAGCCACCAAGCCCGGCCTGGCGTGGGTGTGTATTTATTTTGAGACAGAGTCTAGCTCTGTCACCCAGGCTGGAGTACAGTAGTGCAATCTCACCCGGCTAATGTTGTGTTTTTAGTAGAGATGGGGTTTCACCATGTTGCCCAGGCTGGTCTTGAACTCCTGCCTCAAGAGATCCGCCTGCCTTGGCCTACCAAAGTGCTAGGATTGCAGCTGTGAGCCACCGCGCCTGGCCTAGTGTGGGCATTTAGAGGCTTCTGAGAGAGGTGACATCTGGCTAGATGTTGGGGGCAGAAGAGTTCTCTAGGTGAGCGTTCTCTAGGCAGAGGGAAGTAGGTGGAGTCTGTTTTCCCTTGCCCTCCCTTTGCACCTTCGAGGGGTGGTGGTGTGGTGGGAGCCGCCCTGGGTCCCCTCTTGCAGGTAACACAGCCTCAGCCCAGAGCAGGGCTGGCTGTGGGCCTCCGGGGCCGGGGCGGGGCCTCACCGAGCATTTCCAGCAAGGTCAAGGACGGTGGCCCTAGAGACCTCTGCAGAGGTGTCCTCTGGCGGGCTGGCTGGCTCCAGCTTCGTGGTGTCTTTGGTAAACTTGTTCCCTGTGGGGAGAGACAGGGAGGTCAGGGTGAAGGTCCTCTGGCTTCCTCTTGCTGCAGGGCCCCTGGGCAAAGGTCTCCGTGTGAAGCTGGGGGAATCCTGGGGATAGGACCTGGCCTCTGCCCATCCTTGTGGGTGCCTTGTCCAGCCAACAGCCAGGAACGGGTCCTGGGGAAAGACTCTGCCGCCAGAAGGAGGAACAGCAGCCTTAGTGCCAGAGGCGGCCAGAGATTTGGGAGAGCAAGGGGCAGGAGGAAGGGGAGGCAGCAACCAGAGATGGTTCTCCTGCCCTCCAACATACTATGGGGGCTGAGCCCTTAGAAAAGGGCCAGGGCTTCCCCACGGCTGCATCACGGGACCAGGTTCTCATTTCATCGTGCCAGGAGCCCAGAGGAAGGCGCTATTATCATCCCCATGTCACAGATGTGGAAACCGAAGACCATAAGATCTTGCCCAAAGTCACAGAGCTGGTGGGAGGCGGGACCGGAACTGGGGTGCCAGGTACATGGCCCCCCAAGATCCATGATGCTTTTGCTGCCCCGCATCTTCCTCTTGGGACAGGTGTGCTGGCCCACGGGCCACTGCATGAGCTCTGGAGTCACACCGCTGGGCACGCAGCAGGGACCCGTGCCCACCAGCTGGGCTTCCGTTCCTCTGTCTGCACGTGAGGATAGGAGTGGAGCCACCTTCATAGGATTGTTGGAATCAGATTAAAATAAAACATGCTGGCAGCTTCGAAGAGAGCCTGGTATAGGTACAGGGTCACTAACCTGAAACAGGTTAGTGTTCAGCTTTAGTACTATCTCTCCAGGGCATTCGAAGCTGGTAGGGGTTTTCCTGACAGTCTGTCAGCACCTAGGAGCCCGGGACCCGTTTCTGTCCCAGGACACAGAAGCCAGAGCCCAGCCTCCCTCCCTGTCTGAGGGGAGGCGCTCAGGAGGACCAAGTCCAGGGCGGTGGCAGCTGGGGTTCTGTTGGGGAATCAACCTGGAAACTTCAGAATGGACTAGATGGTCCCCACATACCTGTGAAAATTCGCTCATCAAACATCCTGGGGAGAGAAGAGAGACAGGCATGAGAACGGTGCAGGCTGGAGGGCTCTCCCGGGGCTTGGGGAGATGCCCCAGGTCCCCTTCGGTGGTGGTCACTGAATGGCACATGCACAGCTACGGCTTCAGACCTGGGCACTGAGCACACATGCAGGCAGGAGAGGGCATGTCGGAGTCTCAAAACATCCCAAACCGTTTATTTATATTCTTATTTTTGGAGACAGAGTCTCACTTTGTCACCCAGGCTGGAGTGCAGTGGTGCGATCTCGGCTCACGGCAACCTCCGCCTCCAGGGTTCAAGCGATTCTCCTGCCTCAGACTCCTGCGTAGCTGGGACTACAGACGTGCGCCACCGTGCCCTGCTAATTGTTGTACTTTAATTAAATTAATTAATTAATTTCTTTTTTTAGATGGAGTCTTGCTCTGTCGCCCAGGCTGGCGTGCAGTGGCGTGATCTCGGCAGGGGAGTGGGGCGTCTCAGTGTGAAAACAGAAGTCATCGTCAGCCTCGCACCCCTGGCTCTGCCTCCCATGACTGGCGTTTTTGCCTGTGTTCTAATTTCCTGCTAGGTCCCCCTTGAATCTCCACCTCCCGGGTTCAAGGGATTCTCCTCCCTCAGTCTCCTGAGTAGCTGGGATTACAGGCGTGTGCAACCACACCCGGCTAATTTTTGTATTTTTAGTAGAGACGGGGTTCCACCATGTTGGCTAGGTGGGTCTCGAACTCCTGACCTCAGGTGATTCGCCTGCCTCGGCCTCCCAAAGAACTGGGATTACAGTAACTGGGACTGCAGGCACCTGCCACCATGCCTGGTTAATTTTTAAAATATTTTTCAGACAGGGTCTTGCCATGTTGCCTCGGCTGGTATCAGGCCTGTTTTATGTAAATGAGGCACAGAGTGGTTAAGTAACTTGCCCAAGGATGCCCAGGTCGGAAATGTCTTCACGTGCACTGATGCACTTAATGATGTTTTAATTCATGAGGGAAATGAGGTCAATGAAAAAACACCTTATGCTTATTAAACATCTGCTACATGTCAGGTGTGTTTCATCTACTTTTTCATTTTATGTTAGGAAAACTTGGGTGGCGGGGGCCATCATTATCCCTTTTCCCTTTGTTTTTTTTAGATTTAAATTTTAATTTTTTTTGAGATGGAGTCTTACTCTGCCGCCCAGGCTGGAGTGCAGTGGCGCTATCTTGGCTCACTGCAAGCTCCGCCTCCTGGGTTCACGCCATTCTCCTGCCTCAGCCTCCCGAGTAGCTGGGACTACAGGTGCCCGCCACCACGCTCGGCTACA